GGGTCAAGCAGTGAACAGACAGAGTTGTGGGTTTATTGTGCTTATGTACACATTCTTACACATTAGTACCACCCACAGGGTTTTGGAACACAACCAATAAACACATACAATACACTCAGACACTCCCACACAAAATCCTCCCCTCTGCCTGTGATACAATTACCTTACACAATGGGTAATGTAATTATAACAAGCAGAGAAATACAATTTTCCCACATTATTCATAACTTGAAAAGTATGCATCACATTCACATTACATTTTCAGAATCAGCATACTCCAAATACAAACATTTGTCAAAATCATCCAAATTGGTCCAGTGGTTCAAAAGATAGATCGTAGTCCTTTGTGACCAAAGGAAGCATGGCTGTTCTGCCCAAAACCAGTTCCATAGAGTCTTCTATCCTGGAGATAATTGGGAAGTAATCCAATTATCTCCAAAGACAGAGGCAAAACTCCATTGAACACATGGCAGCAAAAGACAATAAAACACATAAAAACATATAACTGTGCAGCCATTGCACAAAACAGGTACATTCAACATATCCCCAGATAGCTCAGATCTGAGCGCATATTATTACTGAATGGCGCTCAGAGCACACACATACAGTTCAATTGCCATGGAGCCAAAGTCTTTCCCATAGTCTTTCATTATACGAATGGGCTCCATGGCATAGCTATCTGGGGTATCACCGATCAAACAGGGCAAGCACCAAATGACCCGGCTTTCATGTCTCCGCAGGGGAAAATCAAGCCTTTTAACATGGGGCCATAATCCAAAGGCAACAGGCGAGCAACCAGGCTTCTCCAATGCAATGTGGCGAGATTGGTCTCGTCACATTGCATATCATGGTTTTTGCAGGCAGTGGATGTATTGTCTTCCCCATCCCTGTATAAATATTGTACTTTGTTATTATGAGTGTCTGCATGGTTCACCATATAATTGGCTATATTTTGAAATACTGCACATCCAGAGACATTGTTAATGGTGTGTTGGGGCAAGTTGCACCCCCAGTACATGTGCTACAGGCTGCCTAATGTGAATTGTGCACACTGCAGACAGACGTTAAAACCTTCCTCTTGCAAGCTATTTTTATTCAATAAAAAACCTCTCTCCACCCCCTACCTCTCTCCCCTCGCCATCCCACAGCGTGCACATGTGCTCTGAGCTGGCAATTGGTCCAGTTTGTAAGGACTGGACTTGCCGCTTATCACGTGACGCCCAGATTCAGACGACCATCATCTTCCTAGACCCTGCTAGTCCCTCCAGCCTCTCCAACGTTGGCTGCTGTGTGCATGACCCTTTTTATGATGTGGCATACACACGCCTCAATCATGACATCACAGACACCAGTAATTGCCATATTCACCTACCCTCATGTTTTGGGAGTCTTTTTACAACAATAATGCCCCAGCCTATAAAACAGCAGTGTTCCAAGTGCACAGTGCCTTGTTGCGGTTTCTCCTTGACCCAATATGGCATCGATTCCATTCTGTATTTTGAACCCCCACTTGCTTTGTCTGCTTGTCGGGTTTCTGGTGTCCATGATTGTATTGACTTTTCAGTCATTCTGTTTTACAGACACCTCTAAGTACCAGCTACATGCCTTTTTACTGAGGTTATACACTGCGTACATGGGTTTAATATACTGATCTGTGACACAATCACAGGAGTGCGGGCAGCCCCAGTGACGTGGAAGGCTGCATTTAAAGTAAATCAAAAACCTGGTTTTTCAAGATTTATTGCAAATGGAGTGGAGGGATCTTATACATAGTGCCAAATAGGGCATTTTACAAGGAAAAGGTCTCTCGCTCTCCAGGCCAATGCTAGGGTCACAGACGTCCAGGTGTAGACATTTTATGGGCGATCCATTTGGGCGAGGTCATCTTACTAACTCCTCCCTTTGCAGATGTCCAGACATCCATATTTATATTGCAAGGGCTCCACCTCTCCATCCATAAGCCCCTCCCATTGTTCTAATCTGAAACACACTCTCACTGAGAGAGACATACTCTCACTGATTTTAAACACACTCACTGACAGACAGACACACACTCACTGACAGACACACACTCTCACTGATTTTAAACACACTCACTGACAGACACACACTCACTGACATACACACACACACACTCACTGACAGACACAAACACTCACTGACAGAAAGACACGCACTCACTGACAGACAGACACACACACACTCTCACTGATTTTAAACACACTCACTGGCAGACACACACTCTCTATAATAGACATACGCTCACTGGCAGACACACACTCTCTATGATAGACACACACTCACTGACAGACACAATGTTACAAAGTCCCCTCTGTCTGCTACAACCTTGTTACTTTGTTGTTTAATTTCACGAAAACTGTCTCAGATCATTCAAAAGTACGAATGACCGACCACCCGGCCTTGGCGTGTGCCACTAATTAACCTTGTTTACCTCTACAATACTGAACAAACTATCGAACGATCGACCACCCTACCTGAGGAGTGTGCCCCTGCTTAACCACCCAGGAGCTGCGGTTTTGTGGTTAACCGCAGCCTAATTGACCGTCGACGGGGTGGTCATTGTTCGTATGTACATCTTTAACTGCTGAACGCCCAGGGTGACCTGGATGTAAAACGCCTGATACTCTTTTCATATAATATTTTATACAAACCCCGCTGGGATTTCTCATGCCCCATCCATTTGTGTATAAAATACAGAAGATCGTGCCATTCTGTATTTTAAGACTATGTAGGGTATACCAACCCCTTGCAGGACACTATGGCCGAGGATTCCCGGGCTAAAAACTGCCGAACAGCCCTCAGGACAATCTTTATCCCCATGGCGTTACCATGCCATTCGCGAGATCTGAGCGCTTTTCATATACCTTGTGCGCTCAGATCCAAGCTGTCTGGGGATATGTTGAATGTGACTGTAACGGACCGTTTCAGCACACAAGGGGTTAAAACCGTTTAGGCGATCGTCCCCTTTCAGAGATGCAGGCACAGCTACTGTAGAACACCAAACTCACGAACCGCATGTAAGGGAATGCTCCAAACTCCCGAACGGCATACAATATAGCACTCCAAACTCACGAACTGGAACCATACGAATAGCTGCTAGCAGACGAATAGGAAAAGCATCCAAGCGGGTTACACTCCTAGCAATCAGTCTCTATCAGCATCCAGTAAATCCCCCCAAAGACGAGACAAGGCTCCGTGTTGAGGGTCAAGCAGCGGTCTGTTTAATGAGGGCTACCTGCCCAGTATTTATGCAGGTCTCCCACCTGGTGGACACTCCCCTAGGGGACCAAATGGCAAAAGACAGACATAGAAACATAGAAACATAGAATGTGACAGCAGATAAGAACCATTCGGCCCATCTAGTCTGCCCAATTTTCTAAATACTTTCATTAGTCCCTAGCCTTATCTTATAGTTAGGATAGCCTTATGCCTATCCCACCCATGCTTAAACTCCTTTACTGTGTTAACCTCTACCACTTCAGCTGGAAGGCTATTTCATGCATCCACTACCCTCTCAGTAAAGTAATACTTCCTGATATTATTTTTAAACCTTTGTCCCTCTAATTTAAGACTATGTCCTCTTGTTGTGGTAGTTTTTCTTCTTTTAAATATAGTCTCCTCCTTTACTGTGTTGATTCCCTTTATATATTTAAATGTTTCTATCATATCCCCCCTGTCTCGTCTTTACTCCAAGCTATACATGTTAAGATCCTTTAACTTTTCCTGGTAAGTTTTATCCCGCAATCCATGAACCAGTTTAGTAGCCCTTCTCTGAACCCTCTCTAAGGTATCAATATCCTTCTGAAGATACGGTCTCCAGTAATGTGTACAATATTCCAAGTGAGGTCTCACCAGTGTTCTGTACAATGGCATGACCACTTCCCTCTTTCTACTGCTAATACTTCTCCCTATACAACCAAGCATTCTGCTAGCATTTCCTGCAGACAATCAGAAAAATAGGACACACAGTCACATTATATTCCCACAATGCATCCTGGTTTCCTCCCCTCTGCCCTGGAGATAATTGAGAAGTAATTAAATTATCTCCCAGGACAAAGGCAAATCGCCATTATGCACGTGGGGATACCAATACATGAATTACTATTAAAGTACACTATATGACATAAGTTACAATAAAACTTGTGACGAGACCAATCTCGCCACATTGCATTGGAGAAGCCTGGTTGCTCGCCTGCTGCCTCTGGACTATGGCCCCCTTTTAAAAGACTTTATTTCGCCTGCAGAAAAGCTGTATTCGTGCTTTTCTGCCGGTTGTTCGGTAGATTCAATCTACCGAACAACCACACGAATGAATAGACCACCTGGGAGCTGGAGTGTGCCGCAATTAACCTCCCTGAAGCTGCGGTTAACCGCAGCTTAATTGACGAATGCTGGGTGGCCGCCATTCGTATCCCGAACACGAGGTCGCGGCCATTTTAAACATACGAATGCACAGCTGTGTTCGTCTCTATTTTCATGGTACTAAAATCGGACACAGTTTTGCGCGAACACCGCTGAAGCCGCCGACCTCCCTTCTTGTTCGGTGGAAGTGCACGAACGGCCCGGTGCTCGGTAGTTTTGTTTGAATGTGTTATACCCCAGATAGGAATCCCATGGAGCCCATTCGTATGAAACTGACTGTAAAGACTTTGGCTCCATGGTGATTAAACTGTATTTGTGTGGTCTGAGCGCCATTCGCTTAATAATGTGCGCTCAGACCTGAGCTATCTGGGGGTATGTTACATGTCTGTGTTTTATGTAATAAATGTTGCTTTATGTATTTTAAAGTATAATACT